GAGGGAAACAAAAATGGTGGGGGAAAATCGTGAGGGGAAAAATGGTAATGGTGAGGGGGAAAGGGCGGGAAAAGAAAAAACAGGGAAACAAAAATGGCGGGGGAAAAAATGGTGAGGGAAAAAACAGTGAGGGAAAAACATGGTGAGGGAAAGGAGAAAAGGGAAGGGGAAAACAGAGGGAAACAAAAATGGTGGGGGGAAAAATGGGGAGGAAAAGGGAAAAAGGGCAGGAAAATAGGGAATGGAAAAAGCAGAGGAGACAAAAATGGTGGGGGAAAATCGTGAGGGGAAAAATGGTAATGGTGAGGGGGAAAGGGCGGGAAAAGGAAAAGCAGGGAAACAAAAATGGCGAGGGAAAAAAATCATGAGGGAAAAAAATAGTGAGGGAAAGGAGAAAAGGGAAGGGAAAAAACAGAGGGAAACAAAAATGGTGGGGGAAAAAATCATGAGGGGAAAATGGTGGGAAAAAAGGGCGGGAAGGGAAAAAGAGGAGGGGAAAAAACAGAGGGAACCAAAAATGGCGGGGGGAAAATAGTGAGGGGAGAAAAATGGTGAAGGAAAAAGGGCGGGGAAAAAAGGGCGGGAAAGGAAAAAACACAGGGAAACAAAAATGGCGGGGGGAAAATCGTGAGGGGAAAAAATGGTGAGGGGAAAAAGGGCAGGAAAGGAAAAAACAGGGAAACAAAAATGGTGGGGGAAAATCGTGAGGGGAAAAATGGTAATGGTGAGGGGGAAAGGGCGGGAAAACAAAAAACAGGGAAACAAAAATGGCGGGGGAAAAAATTGTGAGGGAAAAAAATAGTGAGGGAAAAACATGGTGAGGGAAAGGAGAAAAGGACAGGAAGAGAGGGAAGAGAAAAAACAGAGGGAAACAAAAATGGCAGGGAAAAAATCATGAGGGAAGAATGACAGGGAAAAAGGGTGGGAAGGGAAAAAGAGGAAGGGAAAAAACAGAGGGAACCAAAAATGGTGGGGGGAAAATTGTGACAGAAAAAAAATGGTGAGGGAAAGGAAAAAAGGGCAGGAAGACAGGGAAGGGAAAAACAGAAGGAAACAAAAATAGTGGGCGAAAATCATGAGGGAAAAATTGTGAGGGGAAAATTGTGAGGGGAAAATTGTGAGGAAAGGAAAAAACAGAGAGAAACAAAAATGGTGGGGGAAAAATTGTGAGGGGGAAAAAATGGTGAGGGAAAGGAAAAAAGGGCAGGAAGACAAGGAAGGGAAAAGACAGAAGGAAACAAAAATAGTGGGCAAAAATCATGAGGGAAAAAATGGTGAGGGGAAAAAGGGCAGGAAAGGAAAAAACAGAGGGAAACAAAAATGGTGGGGGAAAAATCGTGAGGGGGGAAAAAATGGTGAGGGAAAGGAAAAAAGGGCAGGAAGACAGGGAAGGGAAAAAACAGAGGGAAACAAAAATGGTGGGGGGAAAAAAGGGCGGGAAGGGAAAAAGAGGAGGGGAAAAAACAGAGGGAAACAAAAATGGCGGGGGGAAAATCGTGAGGGGAGAAAAATGATGAGGGGAAAAAAGGGCGGGAAAGGAAAGAACAGAGGGAAACAAAAATGGTGGGGGAAAAAATCATGCGGGAAAAAAATGGTGAGGGAAAGGAAAAAAGGGCAGGAAGATAAGGAAAGGAAAAACCAGAGGGAAACAAAAATGGTGGGGGAAAAAATCATGAGGGGAAAATGGCGGGAAAAAAGGGCAGGAAAGGGAAAAACAGAGGGAGACCAAAAAAAAAATGGCAGGGGAAAATCATGAGGGAAAGATGGTGGGGAAAAAAGGGCAGGAAGCAAAAGGGCAGGAAGGAAGCCGGCACAGCTCGGGATTCCCCAGGAATGGCAGCAGGGATGGGCACTGCAGACCCTGCTCTTATCCCAATTTTATCCCTATGGAGCAGGACACGGGCAGGAGGAAGGAGACTGGGGCACTCCTGAATTCCCAGAGCTGAATTCCCAACATTCCCTGAGCCCACGGACACAGAGACTTGGACTGGAAGGGATCCTAAGGATGATCCCATTCCATGGGCAGGGAATTCCCACTGTCCCAGGGTGCTCCAGCCTGGCCTGGGGCACTGCCAGGGNTCCCAGTCCCACTCCATGATCCTTGCCCTGTGCTTGGCTCCCCAGTCCCATTCCAAGATCTGTGTCCCATGCCAGGATCCCACTCCCATCCTTGGATCCCTGCCCCATGCAGGGATCCCAATCCTATACCAGGACACCATTCCCACACCAGGATCCCAATCCCGTGCTGAGATCCCATTCTCACACCAGGATCCCAATCCTATACCAGGACACCATTCCCACACCAGGATCCCAATCCCACACCAGGATCCCATTCCCACACCTATCCAGGGCTCTGGGATTGATCCTGGCTTAATTTCAGCCTGGAAAAAAGCCAAAAATACATGGGAAGGAGAAAATTCAGGACATTTCATTCGAGGTTTGTCCAAAACAAAAAAACATTGGGATTTTTCATTTCTGAATCAGATTTTCTGGGAGAGCTGAAAGTGAGAATTATCCCTTCAGGAACTGGGAAAAGCTGTGCCTGGAACTGGAAGCCAGGTTAAAGGGAATTTTTTTCCTTGAAAGTTAACGAGGGAAAATTCTTCTGCTTCCCACCTTTGGTCTGGCTTCAGCCAGGAAAGGAAGGGATGGATGGATGGATGGATGGATGGATGGATGGATGGATGGATGGATGGATATTCCACTGGCAACATCCCAGTCAGGGATGCAAAGCCTGGCTTCATCCAGATTCCAGCTGTTGGGAACAGCTGGACACGGCAGTTCTGTGCATGGAGATCTGCTGACATCTACAGGTCATTCCAGAGATTCCATGGAATCAGGGAATTCCACAATAATTTGGGTTGCAAGCAGACTTAAGGATCATCCCATCCATCCCACTTCCATGGGCAGGGACACCTCCCACCATCCCAGGCTGCTCCCAGCCCTGTCCAACCTGGCCTTGGACACTTCCAGGGATCCAGGGAGAACCACGGCATTCCCTGATGGAACCTTCCCACTGCTTTTCCAGAAATATTTTGCCCCAGGACAAGGGTGAGGGGCACTTGGATGTCTCCCATCCAAGGAAAAAACAGGGAAAACCACCAAAAACACCCTACAGGGAGATGGCTGGACACCAGCCCAGGTGTTTTCCCACCTGAGAATCCAGAGGGAATCCACAGGCACATCCCAACACCCAGCCCGGCCCCGGTGGGTGCAGCTCTCCCACTGCTCCATGGAATGTCCCCGTTGTCCCCACACACCTGGGAATGGCCCCTCCAAGGGGAGAGGACGGAGCAGGAATGGCTGCAAACACCGGGAACAGGAGAGGGAAGGAAGCTGGGAATGGAGGAGGAATCAGGGAATTTTCCAGCTGCTCTTTGCTCCCAGGCACCCTCTGGAAGCAGGAATGGGGCTCTCATAGGTGGGAGAGCATGGAGCAGATCCTGGCACAGGGACAAGGATCCACCACCCTGGGAATGATCCACCAGGACAAAAGCAGCAGGATGTGGGAATTACCAGGAACAGCTCTTCTTATCCCAGCTGGAATCTTGTGTTGGCACCAGACATTTCCTCTCGGGATAAAACCTCTCTGGAACCAAACCCAGAGGATTCCAGCACCATCCTCCAAGATCTCCCAGAGCCACAATAAAGTTTTCCAGGGAAAATGCAGGATCAGTTTGGCAGATCCCACCTGCTCACCTTTTCCAGAGGCACAGGGTTGGGATCAGCCCAGGAACCTGGATCACACAATAACCTGGATCAGCCCATCCCAGGAATTGTGCTTGACCTGCTGTGGCCACCTCAAATTTCCATGGGCTCAATCCCACTGCTCCTCCNCCCAGATCTGGATTTTCAGCTCTGGATTTCCCAGATCTGGATTCTGAGATCCAGATTACCCAATCCAGATTCGCAGACTTGGATTTCAAGATTCAGATTTCCCAATCTGGATTTTCAGCTCCAGATTTCCCAGATCTAGATTCCGAAATTCAGATTTCCAGCTCCAGATTTCCAGATCTGGATTCCCAAATCTGGATTCGCAGCTCCAGATTTCCCAATCCAGATTCCCACCTCCAGATTTCCCAGATCTGGATTCCAAGATCCGGATTCCCACATCCAAATGTCCCAGTCAGGATTCCCCAATCCAGATTTCCAGCTCTGGATTTCCCAATACAGACTTCCAGCTCTAGATTCCCAGATCCAAATTCTCCAGTCTGGATTTCCAGCTCTAGATTCCCAGATCCAGACTTGCAGCTCTGGATTCCCAGATCCAAATTTCCCAATCTGGATTTCCCTGATCTGGATTCCGAGATTCAGATCCACAGATCCAGATTTCCAGTTCTGGATTTCCCAATCCAGATTTCCAGCTCGAGATTTCCCAATCTGGATTCCAGCTCCAGATTTCCCAGATCTGGATTCCAAGATCCGGATGTCCCAGTCAGGATTCCCCAATCCAGATTTCCAGCTCTGGATTTCCCAATACAGACTTCCAGCTCTTGATTCCCAGATCCAGATTTGCCAATCCAGATTTTCCTGATCTGGATTCCCAGATCCAAATTTCCCAATCTGGATTTCCCTGATCTGGACTCCGAGGTTCAGATTCACAGATCCAGATTTCCAGTTCTGAATTTCCCAATCCAGATTCCCAGCTCCAGATTTCCCAATCTGGATTCCCAGCTCCAGATTTCCCAGATCTGGATTCCCAGATCTGGATGTCCCAGTCAGGATTCCCCAATCCAGATTTCCAGCTCTGGATTTCCCAATACAGACTTCCAGCTCTAGATTCCCAGATCCAGACTTGCAGCTCTGGATTCCCAGATCCAGATTTGCCAATCTATATTTCCCTGATCTGGATTACCAGATCCCAATTTCCCAATCTGGATTTCCCTGATCTGGATTCTGAGGTTCAGATTCACAGATCCAGATTCCCAATCCAGCTCTGGATTTCCCAATCCAGATTCCCAGCTCCAGATTTCCCAATCCAGATTCCCCAGATCTGGATTCCCAGATCCAGATTTCCAGCTCTGGATTTCCCAATACAGACTTCCAGCTCTGGATTCCCAGATCCAGACTTGCAGCTCTGGATTCCCAGATCCAGATTTGCCAATCCAGATTTCCCTGATCTGGATTACCAGATCCAAATTTCCCAATCTGGATTTCCCTGACCTGGATTCCGAGGTTCAGATTCACAGATCCAGATTCCCAGCTCCAGATTTCCCAATCTGGATTCCCAGCTCCAGATTTCCTAGATCTGGATTCCCAGATCCAGATGTCCCAGTCAGGATTCCCCAATCCAGATTTCCAGCTCTAGATTCCCAGATCCAGACTTGCAGCTCTGGATTCCCAGATCCAGATTTGCCAATCCAGATTTCCCTGATCTGGATTCCCAGATCCAAATTTCCCAATCTGGATTTCCCTGATCTGGATTCCCAGATTCAGATTCACAGATCCAGATTTCCAGTTCTGGATTTCCCAATACGGATTTCCAGCTCCAGATTCCCTGATCCAGATTTCCCAATACGGATTTCCAGCTCCAGATTCCCTGATCCAGATTTCCCAGTCTGGATTCCCAGGAATTCCAGCTTTACCTACCACCTCATCGATGATTGGCTCCGGCTTGGCCGCTTCCAGCTGCTCCTTCACCGTGTCCTCCACTAGATGGGGAAACAGGATCAGTGATGGAAAACCAGGAATTCCACCAGCGCTCCAGGCTCGGCTCCCAAAAGCTTCCCTAAAACCCCATTCCCACAGCTTTACTTGAAAACATGGTGCCCACACCTGAGTACATCCCTTTGGTATCCCAACCATCCTGGAAATTATCTGGGAAGGATGGAAATCCCACAAACAGGAATGGCAGCCGGAAGCCAGTTGGGATCAAGGCCTTTTCTCCCAACATCTGCAGGGATCAGCTGCTCCAAAGGAAATTTTCCTCTCCCTGACTTATTTCCAGGTCTGGCACACTTTGGAGGAGTCAAGCTCCAGCCCAGGCCTTGGGGAAAGCTCTGGAGATATCCAGGATAACGGGAAAACCCTCATGGAAAAAGCCACCCTGCAGCACCAGGGAGCACATCCCACTCCAGCACATGGATTTCATGGAAAAAAGGACAATTTCAGTTGGAAAAGCCCTCCTGGATTGAGTCCAAACATTCCCAGCACTGCCCATGTCCCCAAGTGCCACATCCACAGGGATTTCAATCCCTCCAGGAATGGGGCTCCACCACTGCGGGATAACTGGTTTTTCCAATACCCAACCTGGTTATTCCCCTTCTCCTTGTCCCTGTTCCCTGGGAGTGGATCCCAATTCCCCCTGGGCTCCAGCCAGGGAATTGTGCAGCCCCCAGAGCCTCCTTTTCTCCAGGATAACATTCCCAGCTCCCTCAGGAATTCCCCAGCTCCACTCCCTTCCCTGGACACGCTCCAGCCTTCCCATGACTTCCCTTTCACATGGAAGTTTTAAGCTCCTACAAAAATACAAGGAAAGGGCAGTGCCAGAATTCCCAGCCATTCCCAGCCCTCCCTTTTTATTCAGGGCATTTTTCAAGGGATTTATTCCAGGCAAACTCCACATTTCAGGATCCGGGGAACTCCTTCACTTCCCCCTCAGGTGATTTATGGAAGTTCCGGGTGAGGAAATTCCAGCCCAACGCTCTCAACTCCTGCCTGAGATTTCCTTCAAGATAAATCCAGCAAAAAGCAGCCGGAATTTCCGGGAGGCTCCTCTGAGGATGAATCCTCGGATTTGGGCCTGGGAGTGTTCCCACCCCTCTTGTGCAATGCTGGGCGTGAGGGTGACAGGATCAGATATTCCAGCCCCTCCATGGACACCTCATCCCAGTGGATCTCCCACCTTGGGAAGGGCACGGAGCTTCCCAAGGCCTGGTTTCCCTTCCCACATTCCCGGTTTCTCCCACCTGAGGCAGGTTTGGCCGGGGGCAGCTTCCTCTTCTTCAGCTCCTCATCCTCGGGATCGTAATTCCGCAGCTTGATCTCCCTGGGAAAAGTGGGAAGAAAAATGAGAAAAGTCTGGGATAGCCCAGTGGGCACTCAGGAAAAGCAGGAATGTTGGAATCAGGGCCACAGGCAGCTGGAATCATGGAATTGTTGAGGCTGGAAAAGCCTCCAAGATCATCAAATCCAGCCAAGGCCACCAGGGATCCGTGTCCCCAAGTGCCNCTCAGGATCCTCAAACCGTGTCCCACCCAAAGCACTGAGGATCCCAAATATCCCAAAAATCTCAAGATCCTTTAATCCTGTCCCTGAGGATCCCAAATATCCCAAATAACTCAGGATCCACGTGGGATCCTCTGTCTCTCCTCCAGCCCCACTCCAAATCCTCTGGGACCCCAAAATCCTCAATTCCTGTCCCACTTAAATAACAGAATATCCCAAAAAACTCAGCATCTACGTGGGACTCTCTGAGACCCCAAAACCCTCAAACCTCATCCCATCCAAAGAATGGGGGATCCCAAATATCCCCAAAATCTCAGGGTCCACAAGGGATCCTCTGACACCCCCAGCCCCGCTCCAGACACTCTGGGACGGCAAAATCCTCAAATCCCATCCCACCACATCCCAAAAATCTCAGGATCCACGTGGGACCCTCTGGGACCCCAAAACCCTCAAACCCTGTCCCACCCAAAGCACTGAGGATCCCAAATATCCCAAAAGTCTCAGGATTCTCAAACTCTGTCCCAACCAAAGCAATGGGGATCCCAAATATCATAAAAAATGTCAGAGTCCTCAAACTCTGTCCCGCCCAAATAACAGAGGACTCCAAATACCTGTAATAACTCAGGATCCCCAA